CATAATACGATAGAGAGTAGACGAATGTTTTGTAATTTGGTCGTTGATTTTATTATGACCAACAGTGTAACAATGCTCCTCAGAACCTCGGGAATTTAGGGCCCTCGTAATAATTATTTTAAAAATTTATACAGTATTAATATATTAAATATTACATATTTCAATATTAAGTAAATACCATAAAATAAATTTTTCAATCTTGTTTCTTTATTGCTTGAAAAATTTACGATTTTCATTTTTATTACACTGATAAGGCTCAGAAAAAGTTTTTGCAGACGACCTCAAAATTATAGTTGTGCCATTGGAAAGCTCTTCCTAATATGCGGTAACTTTCGTTTTAAGATCTAGAGCAGAAAAATCTTTCAGTAAGTTGAAATGAATTAAGTTTATACGCGAAATAATATAAAACCACAAAGACCGAGAGGTCTTTCTATAGTGATACGAAAATGCAACAGCTCAAGCATTAAATCTAGATAAACCGAAAGTATGCAACGGAAGGTTGCGAGATACTTTTTTGAAAGCGTGAAACTGCATTGATGTTCAAAAAATATACGTTTAATTAGTAACAGAGATAGAATTATAGTGTTTATAATAAAACATTTGCTTGTCTGTGTAAAAAACTTTTATTTTTTTTTATTTTACTGCAGTCATAAAGTCAGTTTTATGTCTATTTTTTTCTTTTTTAGTAAGTCGATAATTTTCTGAGCTTTTGTTAAACGATGAGAAATGAATCTCGTGGAGTCATCGATTGTGATATGTCATTTAGAACAGTGTTTCTCCAGTTGGGGTCACAGATCATTTCAAGGAGCCACAGGCCAAAAGTCAATTTTCGGGGAGCCAGAGCAAACTGGGGGCAACTGTCAGAAAAAGTATTAAACACATATGAAAATGATTAAACTTCACTGAGTAAATTATTTGAGAATTGTATGTAAATAATTAAAATATTATGTTTAAATAAAATACATACGGATATTTTAAACCTAAAATGTTTTATTTGGTATCAAACAATATACAGTAGTACATACATTTGTTTCTTGTAAATGAAAACATGTCGAGTCTTGTACAGTACATATAATGTACGCAAAGCATGTCAAATCTTGTGCGTATACGCAAAGCAAGACGGTTCTCGTGCACAATATCAATAATACAGTGGGTGATCGGTTAACGAACAAATCGGATAACGAACACTTTCGCAAAAGATTTTTATGTTCGGACAACGAACACATGATCGGACAACGAACACATGATCGGATAACGAACAGCCCACAGAACAAACATAAGAAGAAGCGTAAAATAATGAATACCGATTGGACTTTCCTTGTCTTCGGGCAACAATTCGAAACTTTTCGGAGTATGGGAGACGTCGACATCTACGCTCAAGCCGGTATATACCGATCGGATGGTATTCCTCCGAACTTTGAAACTCTCCCTTGTAATTCCAGCCTTTTATTTTTCTGACAAAACAATTCTTTTATGTATTAGAGAGACTGTCGAGTAGGCACTCGTTAAGTTTTGCGTCGGTTTTTATTTTCGAAAGGTGAGAGTATAATACTAAAGATTAAAGAGTGAGCAGAAGATTTGTAATGTTGCTGGGCAGTGTGGCTTGAATAGGTCTACAGTATGCGGCAGTTCAATCTAATTTGAGAAAAATACTGTATAATCAAGAAGACTCAAGCAGCTAAAGGAGTAATAAAAATCATATCTGAGAAATAAGGAACATCGAAGAGCTCATAATGGAATCCGAAAGTTATCTGACGACTGAAGACCGCGAAGAATTCTTGAATGAAGAACACCAAGAAACTCGGCGAGATATGTTTTCTTCTGAAAAAGTGGATTAATGTCGATATCTGTTATTAAAGATCCTTTGAAGAAGTGGGAGGATGTCAGAACAACGGTTTTAGAATGGCATCCAAACCAGGCTGAGGCTTGGAGATTTCTACAATTGCAATGCTATTAATTACTTACAAAAAATCCTGATGAAGCGAGAAAAGCAATCGACATTAGACAGATTCTTTAACCCTTTCAAACGCAAAAAAAACATGACTAATAAAAATGCAAGACCGTGTACGTATGTATTTTTATTATTACATATAAATAAACGTAGTAAGAAAGTATATATTTTTTATTTTTTAGGGGTCTCCAGAACGAATTAATTAAATTCCCATTAAAACCTATGGTAAATCGATAATCGGTTAACGAACAATTCGGATAGCGAACAAAGTCTTGGAACGGATTATGTTCGTTAACCGATCACCCACTGTATTT